ATCCATTTCCCTTCCTCTCTGTAAAAAATCAATAAAATATATTTTTAAAAATGTCAGAGAGAAAGAATTATCAAGAAAGGAGAGAGGTAGGAGGTGTAACTAGAAACACAGATAGAATAGCTTCATGAAGGAAAGGGGATGTTCTTTCCTCTGCACCCAAGAGGAGAAGGTAGTATGTGCAAGGTGAGTGTTGCTGGAGGATGAACTGAAGGCATCTGAGAGGGTGCCATCGAGGACCTAGGCCAGTGATGGCGAACCTTTTGAGCTCGGCGTGTCAGCATTTTGAAAAACCCTAACTTAACTCTGGTGCCGTGTCACATATAGAAATTTTTTTGATATTTGCAACCATAGTAAAACAAAGACTTATATTTTTGATATTTATTTTATATATTTAAATGCCATTTAACAAAGAAAAATCAACCAAAAAAATGAGTTCGCATGTCACCTCTGACACACATGTCATAGGTTCGCCATCACTGACCTAGGCCTTCTCCCCATACAACTAGGGCCTCTGTGGAGAGATCTCTGACCTACAATCCCCAAGACACTGCCTCCATCCCAATGGCTCAAGTCTGCTTGGTTCTCACCTGAACAGGAGGCTTGGGACCCGCCCCCCGCCACACACACACACACACCACCACCATCAACATGGCTTCTCCTTGCTCCAAGTGAAAAGACACCTGTGGCCGAAAGAGTGAACACCGTTTCCATAGGAAAAAGCTGGTGTCTTGAAAGATTTGTGCTGGGGGGAATGTACCATCCTCGATGACCATATCAGGTTTTCCGAGGCTTCTGAAAGAGACAAGAGCATGCTGGAGAAGTGGCATGCTGACCCAGCTAAAATTTCTATTTTCTAAATTAAAATATTGTGGATCTTAACATTTTCCCCAAAGACCTATAAGTGGCCAACAAGCCCATGAAAAGATGCTCACCATCATTAGTTGCTAGGGAAATGCAAATCAGAACAACAATAAATCCCCTCTTCCCAACATAGCTCTGGACACACAGTAGATGCTAAATGAGCGTGACCTGCTGAGCCCGGGAATGAATAACACTGTCCTCACCCACTGAGGCCAGGCTCCTGCAGGTCGCCAGCATCACCTCTCTGCAGAGCTTCCTCTGAGCACCACCCAGCAGCTCCCATTCCTCCTGGGAGAGGTCCATGGCCACATCCTGGGAGGTCACTAACTCCTAAAAGATCACAAAAGTTCTGCTCAAGCAGCGACACCGCCACCCACTTTTACAGGAGGAGGGCCGAGGATGGAGGCACCAGGGAGTCATATGGAGCAGGGTGCAAAGTCCAGAAGTCAGAGTCTATCTGCTGGCATCTTGTGGGTCCTAGTCTTTGCCTTACAATCACAGGGATGTGCAGACCTCGAGCCCACTGTTCACACGGCCAGAGAAACGTCACACAGGTCTGATGGAAAGATTTTGCCCATTTCTTATTGAACTGGTGATTCTAAATCTGTATGACATTTCCCCTTGAGAATCGTATCCTGTTTATTAAAAAAAAAAATCTGTAGGTCTGTGACTATGCCACTCCATGGTTATGGACAATTAGGTGTATTGCTGACTTTTCCAGGAAATGGCCTCCTCACCTGTTCAATGGGAAGAACCATTTCAACCTCACAAGGTTGTAGTGAGGGCTAATCAGTGTGGAGAGCAGCCACAGTGTTTGGACAGGTTCAAGTCTTGGACTAATGAGAGGGCACAGTTCTCTCATGGCCACGTGCAAGTTCCAGCATGGAGGGCAGAGCCCTCCCAGCACAATTATAGCCAACAGCTATAGTTGTAAGCTTGAACCTATGGTCCGAACACGTGGCCCCATATGCCTGAGTGATGTGGGCTTGATAGAGTTCAGGTGCATGTAATTGAGTAGGATCAAAACCCACAAGAATGTTGTAAACATCTTGACCACGCCCTTACTTTGCCTCGTGGCATCTGGCTATAAAATAAAGACACGGCTTGTAGTCCGGGGCGTTGTCTCTCTCCATTTGAGAGGGCATCGTCCCACTAAGACCCAGCTTTCTTCTCTTGTCAGTCTTTTCTAATCCTTCACCGCCCCCACTCAGGGTCACTGAACCTGGCTGAGCTGGCGCGGCACATAAGGTGCCCTGGGGCTGAGTATGCCATGGCCGTGCCAGTCCACCGCAAATCAGTTCATGCTGGTGAGGCACCTGTTATTGATAACATCAGAGACCCTAGAACAGTGGTTCTCAACTACAGCTGTTGGTTATAATCGTGCTGCACATTAGAATCACCTGGGAATCTTTTTAAAATCCTGATTTCTGGGCCTCATCCTCCAGAAATTCTGATTCTTTGTTATGGGGTGAGGCCACAACATTAGTAACAAAGAAACAGAATTTCCGGAGGATGAGGCCCAGAAATCAGGATTTTAAAAAGATTCCCAGGTGATTCTAATGTGCAGCCAAGGTTGAGAACCACCGTCTTATAAGAACTCTTGTGATTATATTGGTCCCACCTGGATAATCCAGGATACTCTCCCCATCTGAAGATCCTCAACTTAACTACACCTGCAAAGCCTCTTTTGCCACATCCTATGTAATCCTATATAATAAAAGGCTAATATGCAAATTGTCCCCTCAACTGGGAGTTCGACCAGGGGGCAGGGCCAGTAGGCCAACCACCCATGGCCCCTCCCCCTGGCCAGCCAGGCCTAATTGGCCCCAAGTGGGGCGGGTGGGCCAGACCCCACCCATGCACGAATTCGTGCACAGGGCCTCTAGTAAGATAATATATTCCAAGTTCTGAGGATTACAATATGGATAATTTTGGAAGGAGTCATTAGTCTACAACAGACATATACATGCTGGCATGCCCCATGGTCGGAGACAATGCTTTTTAGGATCCATACAGATCCTTCAGATAATGGTTTTGGTCAATGTGGGCAAAAAGGGCAAATCTGTAGCAGAATATGTATCAATTCCAGCCAAGTTGAATCACTGGCCCATCCAGGTAGAATATAAATCAACGATCCAGTGAGTGGCTGGCTGGTCCCTTTGCAGGTGGGCCGGGTGCGAGCTGAGTGAGCCGAGTTGAGGCACCTGTTATTGATGATGTCAGAGACCCTAGAAGCCATACCTTGCACTCCTGTGCCACAAAACGGACCGTCATTACCCACTTGAGTTGGGTAGAGACTGGTTCTCTCTGCTGCCATAACTTGGAGTTACACATTGCAAGGCACAGAGGGAGCAGGAAGTGGGGTTTGCTAGCTCCCCACTGACTCACTGAAATATGTGGAGAGCTACTAGTAGAGGTTGTGCAGGAGGCAGCTGATAGATGTTTCTCTCTCATCAATGTTTCTAACTCTATCCCTCTCCCTTCTTCTCTGTAAAAAAATCAATAAAATACATTTTTTAAAAAAAAGGTGAGAAGAGAAAAAGAAAGGGCTCAAATATTCCCAAAGGTGAACTTTGAAGTAGACCCCAAAATATTCAACATTTCTGTTGCTCATTCCCCGGCAGGAGGAAAAAGGGTTAAACTACTTCCCTGGGTGCCATAAAAAAGGCAGCCTGTTCTCAGGCAGCTGCAGCTGCAACCTCCCCCCGCCTCCCCGCCCCCCTCCCCCACTCATTCCAGCTGGTTTCTTCCAGGTGCTTCAGTGTTAACCCAAAGTCGCTCACTGCAAGGCTGATAAAAGTAAATAAAAAGGGGAAAAGTGGTAACGGTGTTGTATTTTGTGGCTATTGCATGTGATGTATAATAAAATTACTATGAAGTATGGCAGCGGACACAGGCATGATAACCAGGACTGTGGCTCAGGGACAGTGCAAATGATCTAGGACGACTGGGGGGCGGGGGGTGTCTAACTATGACAACATCATGGATGCTGGCTGGGGCATCTGGGTCACTTACAAACATTCTCGGGGAAGGGCTTGTTCTCCTTGTTCACCTGAAACCCAGCTTTTGAATCCTCTGTATTTCTTTTTTAATTTACATGTTTAAATTGAATGTATTGGGGTGATATTGGTTAATAAAATTATATAGGTTCCAGGAATACAATTCTATAACACATCATCTGTATATTGTATTGTGTGTCCGCCACCCTATGTCAACTCTCCTTCCATCACCATTTATCCGCCCTTTATCCTCTTCTATCTCTTTTCCCTCCTTCCCCCACCCCACCCCGAGCTGCTGGTAATCACCATGCAGTTGTTTATATCTATGAGTTGGTTTTTGTTTTGTTTTTGCTTAATCCCTTTACCCTTTTCACCCAGCCCCTAAACCCCCTCCGCTCTGACAGCGCTGTATTTCTGGTAAGGAGACCAATTGTGTTCCTGACTTGTGGCTGCCGCCCAAAGTTGTAGGGGGGGGGAGGGCACCCTGTTCACCACTCCTGACAGATCTGCTGCCCTCCTCACCCTTCTGATAGACATGCCTTAGTAAGGCAGTCTCACTATTAAATGCAGCTGGCCCTAGCTTTCAAAAGGCTTATTCAGCCATAAAAGAAAGACCATTCTAAGGCCCTGGCCCAATAGCTCACTTGGTTAGAGCATCACCCTGGTATGCCAAGGTTTTGGGTTCAATCCCTGGTCAGGGCATGTACAAAGGATCAACCAATAAATGCATAAATGGGTGGAATAGCAAATCGATGTTTCGCTCTCTCCCTTCCTCTCTCTCTCTGAAATCAATGTTTTTAAAAAAGGAAGGAAATTCTGCCACCTGCTACAATGTAGATGAGCCTTGAGGACTTTATGCTGAGTGAAATAAGTCAGATACAAAAGGGAAAAACTGTGATTCCACTCAGGGGAGGTCCCTAGAGGAGTCAGATTCATAGAGACAGGAGGAAGAATGGTGGGAGCCAGGGCCTGGGGGCGGGGAGGGAGAGCCAGCATTTAATGCAGACAGGGTTTCAGTTTGGGAAGATGAGAACGTTTTGGGGATGAGCGGTGGTGCTTATGCCACGGAGCTGTGTACTTAACAATGATTAAAATGGTGAATTTTATGTTATATATATATAAATACAATTTTTAAAAATCCTTTATAGGTAGTAATGGATTTCAATGGGTAAAAATTACCCATGGAATTTAAAAATGTTAGATCCACCTCCAGGAAAGTGGGTGTGTTAGATACCCTGGTTGTTTTTAGCCATTCTGACTGAAGTGGATTTAAAGAAGAAAAAAAAAACGTGGGAAGAGAAAAGAAAGGGCTCAAACATTCCCAAAGGTGAACTTTGAAGTAGACCCCAAATAGTCAACATTTCTGTTGCTCATTCTCCGGCAGGAGGAAAAAGGGTTAAACTAGTTCCCTGGGTGGCATAAAAATGGAGGTGGTTTCTTCCAGGTGCTTCAGTGTTAACCCAAAGTCGCTCACTGCAAGGCTGATAAAAGTAAATAAAAAGGGGAAAAGTGGTAACGGTGTTGTATTTTGTGGCTATTGCATGTGATGTATAATAAAATTACTATGAAGTATGGCAGCGGACACAGGCATGATAACCAGGACTGTGGCTCAGGGACAGTGCAAATGATCTAGGACGACTGGGGGGCGGGGGGTGTCTAACTATGACAACATCATGGATGCTGGCTGGGGCATCTGGGTCACTTACAAACATTCTCGGGGAAGGGCTTGTTCTCCTTGTTCACCTGAAACCCAGCTTTTGAATCCTCTGTATTTCTTTTTTAATTTACATGTTTAAATTGAATGTACTGGGGTGACATGGTTGATAAAATTATATAGGTTCCAGGAATACAATTCTATAACACATCATCTGTATATTGTATTGTGTGTCCGCCACCCTATGTCAACTCTCCTTCCATCACCATTTATCCGCCCTTTATCCTCTTCTATCTCTTTTCCCTCCTTCCCCCACCCCACCCCGAGCTGCTGGTAATCACCATGCAGTTGTTTATATCTATGAGTTGGTTTTTGTTTTGTTTTTGCTTAATCCCTTTACCCTTTTCACCCAGCCCCTAAACCCCCTCCGCTCTGACAGCGCTGTATTTCTGGTAAGGAGACCAATTGTGTTCCTGAACTTGTGGCTGCCGCCCAAAGCTGTAGGGGAGGGGAGGGCACCCTGTTCACCACTCCTGACAGATCTGCTGCCCCCCTCACCCTTCTGATAGACATGCCTAGTAAGGCAGTCTCACTATTAAACGCAGCTGGCCCTCACTTTCAAAGGCTTATTTAGCCTTAAAAAGGAAACACACTCTAAGGCAGTGATGGCGAACCTATGACACGCGTTCCTCACCCTTCTGATAGACATGCCTTAGTAAGGCAGTCTCACTATTAAATGCAGCTGGCCCTAGCTTTCAAAAGGCTTATTCAGCCATAAAAGAAAGACCATTCTAAGGCCCTGGCCCAATAGCTCACTTGGTTAGAGCATCACCCTGGTATGCCAAGGTTTTGGGTTCAATCCCTGGTCAGGGCATGTACAAAGGATCAACCAATAAATGCATAAATGGGTGGAATAGCAAATCGATGTTTCGCTCTCTCCCTTCCTCTCGCTCTCCGAAATCAATGTTTTTTAAAAAGGAAGAAAATTCTGCCACCTGCTACAATGTAGATGAGCCTTGAGGACTTTATGCTGAGTGAAATAAGTCAGATACAAAAGGGCAAAACTGTGATTCCACTCAGGGGAGGTCCCTAGAGGAGTCAGATCCATAGAGACAGGAGGAAGAATGGTGGGAGCCAGGACCTGGGGGCGGGGTGGGAGAGCCAGCATTTAATGCAGAGTCAGATACAAAAGGGAAAAACTGTGATTCCACTCAGGGGAGGTCCCTAGAGGAGTCAGATTCATAGAGACAGGAGGAAGAATGGTGGGAGCCAGGGCCTGGGGGCGGGGAGGGAGAGCCAGCATTTAATGCAGACAGGGTTTCAGTTTGGGAAGATGAGAACGTTTTGGGGATGAGCGGTGGTGCTTATGCCACGGAGCTGTGTACTTAACAATGATTAAAATGGTGAATTTTATGTTATATGTATTTTACCGCAACTAAACATTTTTTAAGTAAAGAAGATGGTGCTTTCCTGGGCAGCCTTACCCCCTCTATGGGTGAAGGTGTGGCCTTCAGGTCTCAGAGGTGCTCCCAGCCGAGGGATGAAGCACAGGTCTCATGGGGAAAGGCGTGCGGATACAGTTCCCGTCACGCCTTGTGCTTACAAGAAGCACGAGAAGCTGGACCCACGTACTCATGGGATTCTCTCTCCTCCCTCTATGGGTGAAGGGGCCGCCTTCAGGTCTCAGAGGCGCTCCCAGCCTAGGGATGAAGCACAGTCTCATGGGGAAAGGCGTGCAGATACAGTTCCCGTCACTCCTTGTGCTTACAAGAAGCACGAGAAGCTGGACCCACGTACTCATGGGATTCTCTCTCCTTCCCCACATAGCAAGGGGCTCCCTTCTCTAACAAGGAACTTATTCCTGGTATACACTGAGTGGCCAGATTATTATGACCACCTGACATTTGTAGGCAAATTAGCCGTACACTGCATCATATGGGATATGGAGCCAAAGGCCTGTTCGAACACCTTTGGCTGTCTGCAGTTACCAAGATAAAACGACTCCAATTCGCACAGGAACACAAGGATTGGACAGTCGAGCATTGGAAAAAAGTCATGTGGTCCGATGAATCATGTTTCCAGTTGCATCATGCAGATGGCAGAGTGAGAATTTG